TCCTTCTCCATGGTTTAAGATCCTAAACGAGTTCTGCCCTGGTTTACACGCTGCTGACCCCACCCCACTCCCCCACTCCCCCTCCCCCCTACCCTCCTCCTCCTCCCTGAAGGGTTGAAGACCTGGAGATGAGCTGGTCTGACAGATGGCCTTTGCTTGGGGTGGGGGGGTTGGGGGCGTAGGTGGGTTCCTGGCAGCTGAGGAACTGGGTCCCCTCTTCCCCCCCCACCCCCCCCCCTCTCCTCTCTCCCCTCTCTCCCCACCCTGTGAGGGAGCAGGGGAGAGTGGGAGCAGAGCAGGGGAGCAGGGCGGGTGGAGATGGATATAATCACCCCCCCCCCCCCCGCCATGGCACTTGCCCTTCGTCAGAAAGATGTCCATTGGCGCTGGACAGTCAGGGGCTTTTGGACCCAAGCTGGGAGTTGGAGGGTGGAAGGCAGTGGGGGGGTTTGGAGGGTGGGGTGGAGGGCGGGAGAGGGGGTTTGGGGTGGGTGGGTGTGAGTGTGGCCTAAGGCACAGTCGAACGAGTTGCGGTCAAAGCATGAATGAGGTGAAGGCAGGGAGGGTGTGATGGGGAGAGGGTGGAGGGGGCTGGATGTGGGCTGTGAAGTCTGGCAGCGAGGTCTGAAACGTGAGTCAGTCTGACACGGGAGCGAGGAATCTGTCAAACTAACACGGTTGAGCTCACGGGTCAACACACCACCGGGGCTGAGGAACACTGTGACGGTTGTTCACATTCCCGCAATAAAACATCTGGGAATCACTCCCAACACAAAGCTATTTTACCTTCCTTATCATTGGGTTAACTTTTGGTCACTTATTAACCAGGATTCCCACCTCCACTGTTGAGCTCTCAAAATACACAGTCACTACACGCCGCGGGTGTATCCCGCGAAGCGCCTCGAGACGTCTCGAAGACGTGATAAGGCGCTGTATCAAGCGCAAGGATTATTATTAGTATTATTCAGCCACTGCTAAGCAATCCGAGACTCCGTCTGTTGCGTGGACGGTGCTACGTACATGCAAGTTGTTGTTGTTGTTGGTTTAGGGGGGGGGGCGGCAGCTCCGTTGTTGTTCCCTCGCTGTGTCGTGGGCGTTGGACTCAGGCAGGAACCAGGACCTCAGCCCTACCCCTCGCTGCGATGATTAAAATGGGTCAAAGGCTTTGATGGTGGGGTCCTCGCACAGAGCTCTTTGTTCGCACAACGAAGGCTTTATCTCCCATCGCTGGTGCCCTCTGACACACACTGCCAGGACCGCCCGGGCTGTTCCCAAGGCAACAGCCAAAGGCAGAGCAAACCCTGGCCTGTTGACAGGCAGTAGAAGGATGGCTTCATCTTAATGAGTGTCCAGTGTGAGGGGAAGGGTGGGGAGGGGAGTCGGGGGGGGGAGAGTGGGGAGGGGGAGATTATTCTGAGAGTCAACCCACTCAGCTCCTGTTAACCCCGCAGCCAAAGCACTAACTAACGAACTAACTAACTAACTAACGGGGAGGGTGGTCCCAGCGGGACAAGCAGCGGGAAAGCTTAGCCAGACAGCGCGCTCTCTCTCAGTGGCCGAGCTATGTGTGGGTTTAGCTGGTCAGACCCCAGTAGTCACCCCAACGCACACTCTGGGCTCCCCCCACCGCCCCCCACACAAGCCTCGGCTCTGGCTTAGTAGGTCATTTAGTTCATGGCTGTGTGTGAATTGAATTGGTTGCCCCGTTCGTTCACAGAACACACAGTCACTACACCTGCTTTAAACGTTTTCCACCGTCTGAGATGATTTGACGTGTCGAGGATGATCTGACGGGGTGGGACCTGGCGGAATTTCCCACGTACTTCAAAGTCAGAGGAGGTTGTGGGTTTCCGCCTCATGTCGGGGCTTTGAGCTGATGCTCGAGTTCGGTGTCGGGAACGAACCCTGCGCTGTTCTCAACCGCCCGCTCCCCCCGCTCAGCGGGCTCCGGCCTGCTCCACATCCCCCTGCCCGACCCGAACCAACCCGATCCACCTCACCCCCCCCACCCTCCTCCACCCTTTGGAACTCCATCCCTCATTCCCTTCGCCTCGTTCCCTCCATCACCTCCTTCAAGGCACGTCTCAAGACCCCTCCTCTTCATCTGCGCCTTCGGCCGCCCTCCTACCCTCCCTGATCCCAGCCCCCCCATCCCACCCCACTCCACCCCACTCAGGTCCAAATCCCTGACTGTCCAGCACCTTGGGATGTCCTCCCGACCTGATAGGCGCTGTACAAATATAATTTTGTATGTCCAACTCGTTGGAGTTGCTGTCTTTCAGATGAGCCATTAAACTCAAGCCCCCCATGTTATGCTCTGTTCAGATGGACATTAAAGAATACACCGTAAAGTGAATTAACCGTATATTTTGTGGGCGAAACGCGGCAGCCAATTGCACACAGCAGTGTCCCCCCCACAAACAGCCGTGGATTGAAATGACCGAATTATTTTAAATTATTTCGAAGGGATTATTATCCCCCGGAAAAGCAATCCGCCAATCGACTAATAACCGGGTTCCTACTTGTTACGAGGTAAACAAAAGCGCGTGTGAGTGTGAGTGTGTGTGTGTGGAGTGAGGAAACTTGCCCAACGTTTCTCCCTGACGCGCACGGGAATCGAACCCAGGTCCTCCGGCTTGCGAGGCGAGGGCTCTAACCACTGAGCTACAGAGCTTCACAGCGAGAACCCAGGAGGGTAAAGTGCAGCAGGATCCTGGGCAGAGTCCAGTGAGTGTGAGCCTGGTGGAGCGCAGTGTCTCACTCTGTCAGACTATGTGCTGTCCGGCTGCTGCGATCGTTTGTCTAATGTACATCTGCGAACCCAATGCTCCCACAGCAAAGAGACCAGACCAGACCAGACCAGACCGGGCTCTATTGAGCTTCTCAGACCACTGGGGGTCCAGAGAGAGGGAGGAATCTGCATCCTTTAAAGAACCATATAATAATAATAATAACCTTTGCGTTTGATGTAGAGCCTTATTACGTCGTTGCAGCATTTCGCAGTCTATATGGTAAAGTGAATTGACTGCATATTTTGTGGGCGAAACGCGCACAGCAGCGTCCCCCCCCACAAACAGCCGTGGATTGAGCGACCAAATTTTTTTTTGTGGGGGGATTAGATCGTGACCCCCCCCCAGAGAGAGATCCGCCAATAGACTGACAACCAGGTTCCTACTTACTGTTAGGTAAGCAGAGGCGTGTGTGCGGAGTAAGGAAACGCGTCTCAGGTTTCGCCCTGACCCGCCCGGGAATCAAACATTCGCCAGCAAAAAAACACACAGTCACTACACTTTCCACTGTACAGTGAATCCTGTGAAGCGCTTTGAGGCGTCCTCCTGATGTGAAAGGCTCCGTATCAACGGCGAAGATTATTCTTATTATTATTAATCATAATTGGTAAAATAATAAACTGATGGAGGTTTTTGACGCCGGAATCCATTGGTGCTACAAATGTCTCTCGAGCCTTTGCTGAGAAAGCTCATTCCCAAAGTAGTCGATGACGATTTATTTACTTTTGATGTTTAAGGATGTTTAATACATCTGTTCCGAGTCCCAGGCTAAGTTTCCCACACTCTCTGTTTGGCATTAAATCTCTTTGGCGTCAAACAGCGACATACAGCAAAGCATCGCTGAACACACAAGGGTGTAATATACACAGCACCTTCAGTGCTGAACAGCAGTCTCTCGGCTCTGCCTACGGGAATAATCCTCGCGTTTGATACGGTGGCCTTGTCACGTCTTCGAGACGTCTCAAAGCGCAAAGAGAGAGGAAGGAATCTGCGTCCTCAAAGAGCCACTTAATAATAATAATAATAATAAGAAGAAGAAGAAGAAGAAGAAGAACCTTTGCATTTGACACAGCGCCTTATCACGTCGTTGCAACCTTTCCAAGCAGGACACACTGTCATGGGAATTGACTGTGTATTTTGTGGGAGAAACACCCAATTGCGCATAGTAACGTCCCCCCACAAACAGCCGTTGGTTATTTTCTTTAAGGAATTATTATCCCCAGAAAAGCCATCCGCCAATTGACTAACAACCGGGTTCCTACTTACAGCTGGTAACCAGAAGCGTGTGTGTGTGTGTGTGCGTGTGTGTGCGTGTGCGTCTGTGCGTGTGCGTGTGTGTGGGGGACTAAGGAAACTTGCCCAATGATTCCCCCCGACCTTGACCCGCCCGGGACTCGAACCCGGGTCCATCTCGCTTGCGAGGCGAGAGGGCTCGAACCCCTGAGCTACGGGTGGCTGCAGAGACAGATCAGGTTCCCGAGACGCGAGCCCAGCGCGAAGTGCAAGTTGTTGTCGTCGTTGGTTGTGGCCGATACAAAGAGAAGGGAGTTTCTCTCTCTCAGTGTCCTGGTCGACAATTACCCCCTTCCCCACCCCCCGCCCCCCCCAACCCCCCCAACTCCCTCCCCGATAAAAATGACTCGTTCACTTCACCTTGTGCGGAACTGACAGTTTAATGAGGAACATGTGAGTAACATCATTACAAAACAAAATGATATTGCTTTTTGCGATCGAACTGAAAAATAACCTTCTTGGGGTTAAAACAAACAAAAAAAGACCCCCCCCCCCGATATTTTTTGCCATGTTTCACAGCCTCGGGGTTTTGAGAAGAAAAACATCCCACCTTTGTGCCTCCGTATTGTTGGAGACACAATAGATGTGGTCAACTGCGCTGCACTGGGAACACACAGCTTTGCTTTGTTGCGAGGGAGATCGATAAAAAAAAAACGCCACCACGCAGCGAGTGTGCCTTTAACTCGCTCGTTCTCTCTCCCCCACACCCCCCCTCGCCCCCACCCCACCACCACCCGCTCCCCACCCCCTCCCCACCTCGGGTTTAAATCTCCCGAGTGCGTGCGTCTGTGTGTGTGTGTGTGTGTGTGTGAATAAATCTTTTTTAAACTCAATCCTTGTGCTCTGTGCTGGAAACCAGCCAGGAGAGACAGAGAGAGAGAGAGAGAGAGAGAGAGGGTGGGGGGTGGGGGGTGGGGGGTGGAGGGGGTGTGGGGGAAGATTATTTATTCATTTGAGCTCAGGAGAAAGCGAGCACTGCAATACCGGTCAGTGAAAGGCGCAGTCAATCACCCGCTGGGATCTATATAAACAGGCTGACAAGCGAGGACCCACATTAATTCCCTGCTTCCTCTCCGAGCAATCAGTCGCTGCTCGCAGTCCCGGCTCGCCTCGTTCCTCCTACCAAGAACATGGCTTCCTACAGGTTGTCCACCAACAAAGCTTCCTACAGGAGAACGTTTGGAGCTCCTTCCGCCTCGCCCGTCTCCCTCTCCAGGCTCTCTGGCTCTCCGAGGCTCCTCGCCTCTCCTTCCAGCCTGAGAGCCAGCGGTTTCCGGCACAGGCTCAGCACGCCGGTCTCCACCACCAAGATCTCCTACGGGAAGGTGGACTTCCTCGCGGCCGGCGCCCTGAATCAGGACTTCCTGACCACCCGGACCAACGAGAAAGCCGAGCTCCAGGAGCTGAATGACCGTTTCGCCAGCTACATCGACAAGGTGAGGTTCCTGGAGCAGCAGAACGCGGTGCTGGGGGCAGAGCTGAACCAGCTGAGAGCGAGGGAGCCCAGCCGGGCGGGGGATGTCTATCTGGAGGAGATCCGGGAGCTGAAGAGGCAGTTGGACCTGGTGGGGAAGGACAGGGACCATATCCAGCTGGAGAGGGACAACCTAGCTGAGGATCTCCACAACCTCAACCTCAGGTAAAGAGAACCCGTCCCAGTTGCGGAGCGTAGCGGTCAGCACGCACCGCACGCCTCGCGAGCCGCGGGACCTGGGTTCGAGGGGACGGGGCGAAACCTTAGGCAAGTTTCCATACTCCACACACACGCGCACCTCTGTTTGCACAGCAGTGAGGAGGAACCCGGTTGTTAGTCGATCGGCGGATCGATTGCATTTGACAACAGCGCCTTAATCACGTCTTCGAGACGTCTCAAAGCGCTTCACGGGATATACGCTGTAAAGCGAATTGACTGTACGTTTTTCTGGGCGAAACGCGGCAGCCAATGGCGCCCAGCGGCGTTCCCCCGCAAACAGCCGTGGATTGAGGTGACCCAGTTATTATTATCATTACATCGACGTTATTCCCGTCGCCGTTCGTAGAGACTTCCAGGAAACCAACTGTCTCCGCGACGCGAGAACGGCTCAGATTGTGGGCCCTCGAAAACGTTAATAAGGGTAACCCTGGACCCGAAGAGAATTCGCGCACACGCCCTTCTCGCCGCTAACTTTGAAAACTTCCCCCCTCTTTGCTCTTCCCTCTCACTGTTTGCGGTCTGACCGGACTCCGTCACGGACTCAATCGATGCTTTTTGTGCTGATATCAATCAACGCGGCTTTGTGCTTCCGGGAGACAACACCATTTGCCAATAGAGTAGACGATCAATAACTGTTTCATTCCCTTCTCCCACCCCCTGGGATAGTTTTTAAAAGGATTAGAATAGTATTGCAGAGTTGGGGTGGGGGAGTGGGGGCGCGTGGGGATGGGTGGGGGGGGGGAATGGAGGGTGGGGCGTGTGGGAGGTAGAGAGAAGCGGACCGGCTGATTAAAGCAAGCGGACGGAGGTTGAATGTATTTAGTTGGAATATTTCTCACTGTTTTGAAGGGGAGAAGCAGCAAAGAATTTAGAACGTGTGTCTTGGCCCCACTCACTGTTAACACAACCAGGGAGGGTGGAGGGTGGAGGGTGGAGGGTGGAGGGTAGGAGGGGGGACCGAAGGCGGGGTCGAAGAAGAGGGTCTTGAAGGAGGCGAGGGAGGGAATCGCGGCAAATGGGCTGCGGGATGGAGTTCCAAAGGGTAGGGGCAGAGAGGCTGAAGGTCTGACCGTCGATGGTGGGCGGGGCAGGACGTGGAGCAGGCCGGAGCCTGCTGAGCGGAGATGGCTGCGTACAGTCACTACACCCGTCGGCAAATCCATGCGCGATGCTTTCGAGACGCTTGAGAGCTTTGGGCTTCCTTCTGTGTCAGTCGGCAGACGTTAGAGGTGCCTTGGCCCTGCCCACAAAGAGAAGTGACTCTGGCTCTTAGGCTAAGTGTCTGCACTCAGCTCCCGGTGGATGTGCTCACACACACGCACACACGGCTCCACATTAATTGCAGTTAATTGAGCAATCTATAAGACCGCACGTAAGTATCCGAGCCAGAGAGTGGGTAACACCTCGGCCCTTCACCTCAACCTCTCCCTTGCCCGGTTCAAGGCTCTGCTGAAGACCCTCCTCCTCGACCGGGGTCTTCGGTCACCCTCCTACTCCCAGCCCTCCCTCCCTCCCTCCCTCCCTCCCTCCCTCCCTCCCTGCCCTCCAACCCCTCCGGCTCTGTCCAGCCCGAGCCTTGGGACGTCCTCCCGAGGGCAAACTGATGGACGTGCAATGGTGCCAATCAACGGATCGGGCTTCAAACGAAACTGGCAACTCATTCAGGGAATCGGTTGGAGAGGCAGCTCATCTGCAAGGGTGCGGGAGGCGGACCCTTCCCCCCACCCACCCCACCCACAACCCTCCACCCACCCCACCCCACTCGCTGGTCTCCCTCGCTCCACCACCTATAATCAGCCTTTTGCCATCAATAGTAGTTTGGGGTTCCTGTAGCTTAGAGGTTAGAGCACTCTCCTCGCAAACCTGGTTCGATTCCCCCCCCCCCGGGGCGGGGAGAAACATTGGGCAAGTTTGCTTACTCCACACACACACACAGGCGCCCGCGTGTCTGTTTAGCGCTCCAGGACGCCGCGCGGATGCAAGCTGTTGTTGTTGTCGCTGCGATGTGTGGTGCCGTGTGTGTGCGTCTGCAGGTTGGAGGATGAAGTCCAGAAGCGAACAGAAGCTGACAACAACCTCCTCCAGTTCAGGAAGGTGAGTGACTATTCCAGAGAGAGGTGGTTCTCAGCTTGCCCCAGTGCACGCAGCCTGATGTCGTTTCCCCATGCCCACCCCGCCCACCCCACCATTCCCCCCCCCCCCCCACCCCCGACGATAGCGTGTGAGTAAAGAACAGAAGTCGCTGGGAACACACAATGGGATCAGGCAGCGGCTACGGAGAGAAGAACGTGAGTTTCAGGTCAGGACTGGTGGGGTTGGTGGGGGGGTGAGGGGGGGGAGGGGGTGTTGGAAGGTTTATAAGCAGATTATCAGGACGAGAAATGGGGGGGTGGGGGTTGGGGAGCCAAAGACAAAGTCGCAGTCGTTCGAAAGGTCATCGATTTTCCTCTCTCCATAGATGCTGCCTGACCCGCTGTGTGTTCCCAGCCAAGGGGTGTGGGGGGGAAACGACGGCAGACTAGGAATTGGGGTGGGTGGGGGGGGGGGACATAACTATTATCCCATTGGGAGCCTTGGTGTCTGGCAAGGTTCCCACTGCTTGTCCAGCTCGGACTACGCCACCCATCAGGGCTGTTCCATTGGTTTGATTGGCGGAGGGTTTGGCCTCTATGTCGGGGCCAGAAAGGGGGGTGGGGGGGAAAAAGGGCTCAGAAAGATTTCCTTCTCCCCCCAACCCCTTTTCCCGTCCGCGTCTCTTCCTTTTCCCGGAATCCCAGGACGTTGATGATGCCACCTTAGCCCGTCTGGAGCTGGAGAGGAAGATTGAGTCTCTGATGGACGATATCGAATTCCTCAAGAAAATCCACGAGGAGGTGAGAATTCCTCTCTCTATCTCTATCTCTCTCTATTGCTCCCTCTCTATCTCTATCTCTCTATCTCTCTATCTCTCTCTATCGCTCCCTCTCTATCTCTATCTCTCGTTCTCTATCTCTCTCTATCTCCCCCTCTATCTGTGTATATCTATCCCTCTCTCTATGTCTCTCTATCTCTCTCTCTCTATCTCTTTCTCTCTCTTTCTCTCTTGCAATCCCTCTTTCTTTCTTTCTTTCTTTCTTTCTTTCTTTCTTTCTTTCTTTCTTTCTTTCTTTCTTTCTTTCTTTCTTTCTTTCTTTCTTTCTTTCTTTCTTTCTTTCTTTCTTTCTTTCTTTCTTTCTTTCTTTCTCTATCTCTCTATATCTCTCTCTATATATTTATCTATTTCTCTCTCTATCTCTCTATATCTCTATATATAACTTTAACTCACTCACTCTTTCGATCTCTCTCTCTCTCTCGCTCTCTGTCTGGGTGGGGGGTCGGGGGACGCTGCTGTGTGCAATTTGGCTGCCGCGTTTCGCCCACAAAATACACTGCGCTGTACAGTGTATCCTGTGAAGCGCTTTGAGACGTCTCGAAGATGTGATGAGGCGCTGTATCCAATGCCAGGACTATTATTATTATTATTATTATTATTAAATCGTCAGGAATTGCAGGACATGCAGATGAGCAACCAGGCCACCCAGGTGCAGATGGAGATGGAGGTGGTGAAGCCGGACCTGACGTTGGCGTTGAAGGAGATTCGCACCCAGTACGAGAGCATCGCTACCAAAAACGTGCAGGAGACCGAGGAGTGGTACAAGTCCAAGGTCACTCACTCACTCACTCACTCACTCACTCACGCCTCGCCTCGCCTTGCAGCGCCCCCACTGAGGGCTCACTGAGTCTTCCAGGAACCTCCCAAGCCAAGAAGGTCCTCCTCAGGCTACAGAGGTCAACTCCCTTTGTTCCTGTGTGACTGACGCGTGTGTGTGTGTGTGTGTGTGTGTGTGCGTGTGCGCATATGTGTGCGTGTGCGCACTGTTACTCACCCCATCACAACCAGTCCCGCTCCCTTCGCTCAACGGGCTCCATCCTGCTCCAGGTCCCCTGCCCGCCCCGTCTCACCATCCACGGCCTGGCCTTCAGCCTCTCTGCCCCACCACCCTTTGACACTCCATCGCACAGTCCCTTCGCCTCGCACCCACCCCCCCCCCCCAACCCACCACCTCCCTCGCCTCCTTCAAGGCACGTCTCAAGACCCTCCTCTTCGACGACCCCTTTGGTCGCCCCTCCTACCCCACCGCCCGCCCTCCAGATCCCAACCCCCAACTCGGGTCCGAATCCCTGACTGTCCAGGCCGGAGCCTGGGGACGTCCTCCCGCGACGGCGAGAGGGGCCGCGTGAGGGTCACGTGTCGTTGCTGCGTTGCAGTGTGTCCGAGCGACCGAGTGACCGGCCCTCTGTGTTGCCCCCACCCACAGTTTGCGGACCTGACGGAGGCCGCTGGCAGGAACACTGAGACCCTGCGGCAGATGAAGCAGGAGCTGAACGACTCAAGGCGTCATGTTCAGTCGCTGACCTGTGACCTCGACGCCCTGAAGGGAACGGTAAGCGGTAACGACAACGACAACAACAACTTGCAGTTAGACAGCGCCTCTCACCCAGGATAGTCACTTGCTTCAGTCACTGCTGGGGATTAAGTGACCAAATTATTATTATTGTTTTTTTGGGGGGAGGGTTTATCCCGGGAATCGAACCGCTTGCGAGGCGAGAGCCCTAACCGCCGAGCCACAGGACTCCGATCCTTCCGGATTAAAACCTGCCGCTCGCTTCATTGGCCGTTTGTGGGGAGGTCGCTGTGAGCAAATTGGCTTGCCTCTTTGGCCCTGCGCGAACGCGCAGTCACTACACCCCAAAGGTGGCTCGAGATGTGAGAGAGAGGCGGTGGACCAAAGGTAAAGGTTGTTATTAATCATAATAATTATTACATTCCTCCCCACTCTAGAACGAGGCTCTGTTGCGTCAGATGCGAGAGATGGAGGAACAGTTCTCCGCCGAGGCTTCCGGTTACCAGAACACCATCGCCCACCTGGAGAAGGAGGTCCATCACATGAAGGACGAGATGGCCAGACACCTGAGAGAGTACCAGGATCTACTGAACGTCAAGATGGCCTTGGACATTGAGATCGCCACCTACAGGAAGCTTCTGGAGGGAGAGGAGAGCAGGTCAGAGCATCTTGTGGAGTCCCTGTAGCTCAGTGGTGAGAGGACCCGGGTTCGATTCCCGGGCGGGTCAGGTCAGGGTGAAACGTTGGACAAGTTTCCTTACTCCGCACACACACACACGCGCCTCTGTTGTGAGTCGATTGGCAGATCGCTCTCCCGGGGGGAATAATCCCTTCAAAAATAACGATTCAAATTGTTGTGTGGGTCGCTGCTGTGCGCAATCGAAGACGTGACATCAAGTGCAAGGATTATTATTCTTATTATAATAATATAATGTAATAAAAGGATTATTATTATTTATTATTATTATCATTAGGATTCTTGGTTAGACCGGTGACCAGAGGCGCTCGAAGAGGTAGGTCTTCAGGAGGGATTTGGGGATAGATGAAGAGGGATCTATGGGGGTTACCAACGACAGGGGCGCAGTGGCTAAAGGCTGACGGTGGGGCGGAGAGAGGGGTGGGGGTGACTGCCAATGCTTTGCGTAAACTGGAACGTTCTGGGATTGAAACCAGGTGTCTGTCCTTCTCCTTAGGATCACAGTGCCTGTTCAATCCATGGCTTCGCTCAGCTTCAGAGGTGAGTCCGGGAGGAATGTCAGAGCCCTCCAGCTCAGTGCTTAGAGCCCTCGCCTCGCAAGCGAGAGGACCCGGGTTCGATTCCCGACACAACGAAACATCGGGCAGGTTTCCTTACTCCAGACACACACACACACACACACACACACACACACACACACACACACACACACGCACGCACACACACACACGCACACACACACGCACGCACACACACACGCACACACACACACGCGCCTCTGTTTACCAGCGGTAAATAAGGACCCGGTTTGTTAGTCGATCGGTGGATCGCTTTTCCAGAGGGTAATAATCCCTTCAAAAAAATAATAAAATTGATCACTCAATCCACGGCTGATTGTGGGGGACGTCTCTGTGCGCCATCGGCTGCCGCGTTTCGCCCACAAAACATACGGTCGATTTGCTTTACAGTGTATTGCGTGAAGGGCTTTGGGACGTCTCGAAGACGTGATCAGGCGCTGTATCAAATGCCGGGATCATCATTACTATTACTGTTATGATTATCCTCTGAATCCGCCACTTGGTAACTTGCGAGCTTAACACTCTTTTCCACCCGCACCAACCCCCACCCCCTCTCTCCCCCCACCCCCACCCGCTCCCCTCTCCCTCCCCCCACCCCCCCAGCGCCCTGTTCAGACGTCGCTGACGGCCTATGTTTCTTGTGTCCCAGACTATGATCAGGTACCGGATGCTCAGAGCAGGAAGACTGTGATGATTAAGACCATTGAGACCAGAGATGGCGAGGTAGGAATAGGGCCTGTTATCTCTGCTCTGTAAGAGAGTTGGATTAAGAATAAATTAGGCTATTTACAGTACTTAATAAAACTTAGATTAGTATACAGTTGTTATACAGAGGAAACCACGGCCCGAAAGGGTGGGTGGAAACAGATTCGATAACAACTTTCAAGAGGGAATAGGGTAGGTAGTTGAAGGGAAAAAATGCGCAAGGATACAGGGAAAGAGTGGGCAGGGGAGTGGGACTGATTGGGTAGCTCTTCCAAAGACCCGGCGCAGGCACAGTGGGCCGAATGGCCTCCTTCTGTGCCGTAATATTCAATGATCCTATGATTCCTGTGACATCCACCAGTGACGTCTCCCAGTGTCTCGCACCCGGGGAGTGGGGGCTTCTCTGCAATGGATAGGAACCCGCTCTAATCATGTGTTTCATTGGTGTGACAGGTTGTGAACGAGTCCAGGAAGGAGCAGTAAAACCAATCGGACCATTGAGGTCACCCAACCATCGTGTGGAGCTGCAGGAGACAAGGACATAGAGAGAAAGGGGGGGGGGGAGGCTGTGTTACAGTCCCGAGACCTTCCCGTGCATCCTTCACCCCTCACCCTGCTCCTGACCCCCCCCCCCACAAAGATGCACCCTGTTAAGCAATGCTCTCCCCCCACCCCCCACCCTCACTACCTGAGACACAGCGATAATTAAGTACCACTGGACACAAAGGCTGGTATTTGCCGGAGGAAAATAAGCAGTTTGTCAGTGTTCATAGTGGATTTTAGTTGCTTAAACTCCAGCAGAAACCCCCACTACGCATTGCACCCCATCACACACACACACACACACACACTGACACACAGACACACACACACACTGACACACAGACACAGATACACACATACACACACTGACACACAGACACACACATACACACACACAGACACACATACACACACTGACACTACACACACACTGACATACAGACACACTCTGACACACGCACAAACACACAGATGCTGACACACACACACACACACACATACTGACACGCACACATTGACACAGACGCCCGCTGACACGTACACACTGACAACACTCACACACACACCCACACGGACACACGGACACACACATACACAGACGCTGACACATTCGCAGCTGTAGAAATGAACCCCGGGGCGGCTCGGCTTTTAGTTTGTTAGAATCCTAAGGAAAACCCCACGTGTATTAAGACGGTTTAAAGTGGGAGTCACTGGAGTTTTCATTGACAGAAACAAATACCGAAAGCTTGTGATGCATTTTTTTTCATGGGGGAGAGAAATAAAGTTTAGCCGGTCAGCGAGTGTCAGTGTGTGCGCTGTAACTCCCGCGCAAGTGAAGTGACTGGCTCATGTTTCAGGCAAACACGTTGGAGCCCCGTAACTCAGCGCTTAGCGTGAGACCCGGGTTCGATTCGGTCAGGTTCAGGGCAAGTTTCCTTACTCCACACACACACACACACACGCACACGCACACACTGATAATAATCCCTCAAGAAATGGGAACCGATTAATAAATCGGTCGCTTCAACCCACGGCTGTTCGTGAGGACGCCGCCGGGCGCAAGTCCTGCGAAGCGCTTTGAGGCGCCTCGGAGGCGCGGTCAGGCGCCGCATCCAGACGGAGAGGCTCGTTTATGATTTTGCTGCCGTCACGGGAGGCAGTTTACGCGCAGCAATGCCCCGCGAACAGCCGTGGACGGCCAGCCGCTTTGCAGTGTAAAAAGCGCGCCGCCGTCTGTCCCGCGAAGCGCTTTGGGAACGTTCCTCCCGATGCAAAGAGTGGAGTCCTGTAGCTCAGTGGTCAGAGCACTCGCTTTGCGAGCGAGAGACCTGAGTTCAATCCCAGGCAGAGAGCGAAACCTCGGGCAAGTTTCCTTACTCCACACAGAGCCTAATCATAATCCCTCCAAAGCCAAAAACAATAATAAATTGGTCATATTCAATCCACGACTGTTTGTGGGACATTGCTGTGCGCAATTGGCTGCCGCGTTCGCCCACAAATATACAGTCAATTCACTTTACAGTATTCTGTGAAGCGCTTTGGGACGTCCTCCCGACGTGAAAAGCGCTATATCAAATGCAAAGATTATCATTATTATTATTAAGAGCAGCTGCGCCAAAAGTCTGGCTCGTTTTTACATGGGGGGGGGTGGGAGAGGAGAGGTTTCGCCAATTGCTCGACCTATCGTTGCAAGGACTCACCACCAGGCGTCGACAGAGACCAACCCATCGTCAGTGAATTATCATTTTAATACACAACGAGGAAAACGACATCCTTTTCTACGCGGCAACTTTCACGCCGGGAGGAGCAACGTCCCAAGGCGCCGGACCGTCGGGGATTCGGACCCGAGCTGGGATCGGAGGGCAAGGGGCGGGTTGGCGGGTAGGTAAGGGTAGCCCACGAAGCACACAGTCACTTCACTTTGCAGTATACATCCCGTGAGGCGCTTTGAGACGTCGCGACGACGTGATGAGGCGGTATCAAAGGCAAGGATCATTATGGTTATTGTTATTATTATTATTCACTGTCACGTTCTCTCTCTCTCTCTCTCTCTCTCACACACACACACACTCTTCCTCTTCTCTCTCTCTCTCTCTCAACCCTCTCTCCCTCGCTCTGTCTCTCCCTCTCTCTCGCTGTCATTCTCACTCTGTGTCACTCTCTCTCCCTCTCTCTCTGACTCTCTCTCTCTCTCTCCCCCTTTCGCACTCTCGCTCAGTATACGTCTCTCTCTCTCTCTCTCTCTGTCTGTCTGTCTGTCTGTCTGTCACTCTCTCTCCCTCTCACTCACGGCAGTGGAAACAGTCATACAAAAATTTTAACGATAATAATAAATATATCATGAAAACTGATATAATAACACCCTCTGAGTTGCCGTATCCTCCGCCCAATCCAAATCCAACCTTTTGACTTTTCCCAACGAAATTTCCGGATGTTTTGAAGACTCTTCAAGGAAACGGGATTGTTTCTGCTTTCAATGCAAACTCTTGTTTTTCTTGGGATGATTCCCATTCCAGGATCTTATTCCCTGTTTTCCGCAGCTGAGGAATAAAGCTGTGTTGTTTGAGCTGCTTAAATTTTCAGCCCGGCTCAGTCCCTGTGTGTCAGCCCAGCTCAGTCGCTGTGTGTGTGTCAGCCCGGCTCAGTCGCTGTGTGTCAGCCCGGCTCAGTCGCTGTGTGTGTGTCAGCCCGGCTCAGTCGCTGTGTGTCAGCCCGGCTCAGTCGCTGTGTATCAGCCCAGCTCAGTCGCTGTGTGTCAGCCCGGCTCAGTCGCTGTGTGTCAGCCCGGCTCAGTCGCTGTGTGTCAGCCCGGCTCAGTCGCTGTGTGTCAGCCCGGCTCAGTCGCTGTGTGTCAGCCCGGCTCAGTCGCTGTGTGTCAGCCCGGCTCAGTCGCTGTGTGTGTGTCAGCCCGGCTCAGTCGCTGTGTGTCAGCCCGGCTCAGTCGCTGTGTGTCAGCCCGGCTGTGTGTGTGTCAGCCCGGCTCAGTCGCTGTGTGTGTGTCAGCCCGGCTCAGTCCCTGTGTGTCAGCCCGGCTCAGTCGCTGTGTGTCAGCCCGGCTCAGTCGCTGTGTGTCAGTCCGGCTCAGTCCCTGTGTGTCAGCCCGGCTCAGTCGCTGTGTGTGTGTCAGCCCGGCTCAGTCCCTGTGTGTCAGCCCGGCTCAGTTATCGTCCTTGGGATGAGACACTTGCTCCGGGACATTACTTTGCGTGACGGACGCTATATAAAAACAAGTTGCCGTTGTTGTGGAATTCCTCTACCGAGATTTCCCATATCAGGATCCCGGGAATGAAAATCAGACTCCAAGTCTTTTCCCAAAGGAACAGGAACGGGAACAGGAATCACAGTAACTTTACATCAGTTCAAGCGAACTTTATTAATTTATTAATCATATCATTTTAAGACGTGCGAGACGGACCTGGGTTCGATTCCCGGGCGGGTCAGGTCAGGGCGAAACGTCGGGTAAGTTTCCTTACTCCCACCCCATCCCCCCCACCCCCACACCCCCCGTATATCCCGTGGAAGCCCTTTGAGACGTCTCGAAGACGTGATCAGGGGCTGTGTCAAACGCAAGGATTAATACTGTTATTATTGCCGTCGGAGACTGCGACCTTCGGCGAGACGTTAAACCCAACCCCACGTCTGCGCGCTGTTAAATTTGAAGGTAAAGGATGGGGGTCACAGACTAAGACAAGGTGGAATTTGGGAGCTTTCGGAGCATTGAGCCTATGAATGTTGGTCGCTGCTCTCTTGCGGACCAGCCCAACATTTTTGTGATACTTTAACACAAAGAGAGGAAATAGCTGATTGTTATTCCAGGGAATTAGTGGAAATGGCTTTTAGTCTCGTGTGTGTCAGTCTCCGATAGTCCTGAGGCTCAGAGGTTAGAGCCCTCGCCTCGCAAGCGAGAGGACCCGGGTTCGATTCCCGGTTGGGACGAAAATTTAGGCGAGTTTCCTTACTCCGCGCACACACCTCTGTTTACCCATCAGCAAGCGGGGACCCGGCTGTTAGTCGATTGGCGGATCGCTTTTCTCGGGGGTAATAGTCGCTCAAAAATAATAATTTAGTCCCTCAATCCACGACTGTTTGTGGGGACGCTGCTGTGCCCAATTGGCTGCCGCGTTTCGCCCACGAAACACCCAGTCACTACGCCTCACAGCATATTCTGTGAAGCGCTTTGAGACGTCTCGACGACGCGATAAGGCGCTGGGCCAAATGCGAGGATTATCATTATAATTATTATTATTATTATTGCCTGGCTTTTACTGTCTGAACCCCAAANTCCAGGACACCGGGAAAGAGAGAGAGAGAGAGAGAGAGAGAGAGAGAGAGAGAGAGAGAAAAACTCCCTTTCTTTTCCAAAAGCTCAAGGGGATATTTAATCCCGTCTTTAAACTTGAATCGCGTCCTCCTGACGTGAAAGGGCGTTCTGCGGACGCAATTTGTTGTTGTTTTTGTTGTTGCCGTTGTCTAATGTCAGGGCAGAAAGGGGGGAGAATGGAAACCCCGACCTCCCGGCTCAGAGATGGGAATGGAGGTCAAAGGGAGCCACGTGGAGAGGGACACGATCACTGCGCGAGCACTTGTCCGAAGGTGTCAGACGCACCAGTTGGCCCTTGAAGGACGGAAGAAGACACCAAAGCCATCATCTGCACAATAACACAGGGAATCTTGTCCACACGTTCAACGAGGGAGAGAGAAAGGTTTTGGTACTTGGGAGACTCCGGCTTTAGGGACGTAACTTGGTACGAGGTTTTTGTTTCTTAGCTGCGAGAGTTTACGATGAAGAAAGGGAAAATGTCAGGCTCCTTCGCTCTCGCTCTCTCTCTCTCTCTCCCTCCCTCCCTCCCTCTCTCGCTCTCCCTCTCTCTCTCTCTCTCCAGCACAAACACAATTGGTAGAGTCGAAGGAGTGAGATCATTCCGAGCAGAACTGGGAGAGAAAAAAAGCGAGAACTCAGCTAAAGAGACATTCAAACTGAGAGAGAGAGAGAGAGCGAGAGAGAGAGAGAGAGAGAGCGAGAGAGAATAGAGAGAGAGAGAGAGAAAAAAACACACAGAGAAAGGAGAGGAAGAGAGAACACAGAAGAGAATAGAGAGACGGAGAGAACACGAACGAAAGAGAGAGGAGAAGCACTCGGGGGTGGCGTGAGGGGTCTGGGGGAGAGAGAAAACAGTTAATGAAGTGCGATAGGGATAGTGAGTGAGGGAGAGGAACAGATACACAGACGCACTCAACTCCAGAGAGAGCGAGAGAGAGACTGACAGAGATAAACCCTGGTAGAGAGGCAGCAAACGGTGTGTGTGTGTGTGTGTGTGTGTGCGCTCAGAACTGTTGGCAGAGAATCTCAGGACAAATCCAAGAGGTGATATTCTCTCTCTCTTCCCGTGCGGACCTCAGGAATCTGGGAATCTCTCCGCTCGCATTCCCAGCTCGGAGGAAATGGCTTCACCGACCGTCTGCTAACCGTGAGTCAGACACTCCAGAGGTGAGCAACAAGTGGTGAGATGTCTTTTGTACGTTGTTGTTGTTGTTGTTGTCGATGTGCTATTTTCTTAACCGGGCGGATTAACCGGCGAAAGGGGTTTCAGCCCCGACCGGACTCCGGGGGGTGAATTTTTTTAGCTCTGTGTTTATTATCGCAATAATGATGACACACCACGTCTTCGAGACGTCTCAAAGCGCTTCACAGGATGTACTTTTTTTGGGGAGGGTGCGGGGTGGTGGGGTGGGGGGTGGTAGGGGGGGCAGGAGGTTTAATCGGTGACTTTGGGGCAGGCGAGCGATGCAAATTGGCCATCGGGCTCGCCTGCAAACACACAGTTACTACACTTTCCAGCCATTCCCTGTCAAGCGCTTTTGAAGGTGTTTTGATGTGTTTGACGGTAACTCTCCCTCTTCACAGCGGAGTATCTTTTTTTATCGGATTTTGTTATCCCGTCCGGATGAGTATCCGGTGATTTCTCTTGTGAACATGTAATAAGAATAGTAATAATAATCATAATAATAATCCTCGCATCTGATACAGCGCCTTCGAGACGTCTCAAAGCGCTTCACAGAATATCCTCTAAAGTTTCTGTAGATTTTGTGGGCGAAACGCGGCAGCCGATTGCGCACAGCGACGTCCCCACAAACAGCCGTGGATTGAAGTGACCCATTTTATTATTGTTGTCGATTTATTTTTGAAGGAATTATCTGCTTTCAATGTGCACGCGTCGGGACGGGTTGGATGAGCGTGGCGATCATGAGCGCGCGGAGCGAGGGGTGGGGGGGGGGGGCGAGCGTGCGAGGGGGTCGCGTGTTCTGCTGAGTTTGCCTCGACTAGTTGGTCGCTGAAAGTGTTAACCCTCTTTGGCTGAGGCATGTGATGGAGATCAAATTCACATTCACCAGATGTGAGCGCTCGGGAGTACAGCAGCGGGTGGGGGGAGGGGTGGAGAGGGGGAGGGGAGGGAGCAGGAGGGGAGGGGGCGGAGGTGGAGGGGGGGGAAATCGTTCTGGCTTTATCCCTTAACCCCGAATTAATTTGATGTGTCGACAATTCGCTGTACACTCCACACCCCTCTCCCGGCAAACCGTAAAGTTTACATTAAAGGGTTGGGAGTAAGGGGGGGTGTGGGGGGGGCCACGGGTTGGGGGTCGGTGGTGGGGGGTGGGGGTGGGGTGGGGGGGGGGGTGAATCGAGGCTATTATTTTCATTTGCATCTTTCCCCGCAGTCCTGTTGGCTGGTTTGAAAACGTTGGCCGGGAATTGGTCGCGAGAGAATTTGTCTGACTCGGTCTCTGCCTCTTGGCAAAGTCTGTGCTTCAGCAAAGCCACACGCAGCGAGAGGAGGTCCCTGATTCGCACCGTAATGAGTTAGTTGGCGTTAAGCCTCGAGGGGCTAAGGCTGGGAGTTAGAGAGAGAGGATTGGGGGGGTGGGGTGGGGGGGGGGAGGATTCAGTCAAAGTTCCTGCAAAATCCATCTCCTTTCCTCTCCCCTTCTGTTTCCTCCACCCAATCTCCCTCTCCCGCCCCACCGCCACCCGTCTCGTTGGAAAGTCCACCAGCGTGCACTCACGCCCCTTCCCTCCCTCCCTCCCTCCCTTTCTCTCCCCCAGCCCCCAACCCCCACCCAAAGCGGGGACTTTGAGCTCACGGTCTAGTCTGACGCTCCAATGTAGTGCTGGGGTGGGGGGAGGGGGGGGCGGCACGTGCCGCCCCCCCTCCCCCCACCCCAGCACTACAAAATACAGTCACTGTGCTTCACGGTAAATCCTGGTGAAGCGCTCTGTAGACACGTTGACCCAATAAAGGCGACATGTCTCTCTCTGCTACCCTATTGGCTTGATGGTTCCCCTACAACTCACTTCCTGCCCCAGAACCCACTTCCTACCCCTAGATCTGACTTCCTGCCCCAAGAATTTACTTTGCAGATGGTTTCAGCCATTGTGGCCCCTCCACACCCTGGAGTTCCACCACCTCGGCTCCTGCCTCCCACCTCACGTTTAAATCCTACCTCTACAACCTCACTCAACCTATCTCTACAACCTCACTTCTGTTGACCTGCCTCAACTCTCCTCAGCCTCCCCCCCCCACCCACCCCCCACACCCCCTGTGAGATATGCTTTGAGACAACCTCCTAACAATAGATTGCTTCTAAAGTAAAATTGTTGTTGCTGTTAGATTTCACGGCCCCAACCCTCTCCCCATCCCCCCCACCACCACCATCCATGGGTTCCGAGAGATTTAGGAAAACATGCCTGACTCGGGGTGGGGGGGGTGGGGGGGGGGGAAAGCAAAGTGATAAACGTGCAGGAAACACATGATCTCGTGCATGGAAACGTTTAATTTTCCCACAGGAATCCTCTTTCCATTCCCAAAAAGTACAAAGACCATTGAGCCTCATACCTGGGAGATGACGAGGGCCCAATCGAGGTTTGAAACCAGGCCAGTCCTCGCTCTCTCTCTCTCTCTCTCCCCTTCTCTCTCTCTCTCTGCCGTCAGGCTCACTCCTTCCCTCGCTCCTCGAAGAAATGCGGTATTTGGTGAGAAAGAGTCAATTGCTGATCTATTTATACATATGCCTAACAATCCACCACTGTTTGTGGGGGAGTGGATGCTGCTGTGCGTGGTTTGGCTTCCGCATTTCGCCCAGAAAGTACACAGTCACTACACTTTACAGCGTTATGCTGTGAAGCGCTTCGAGACGTCTCGACGACGTGAGCAGGAGCTGTGTCAAATGCAGGGATTATTTTGATTGATATAACAGTGTGCGGTGAAAGAAAACTTGCCTCAGGTTTCGCCCGTCCGCCCGCCCGCCCGGGAATCGAACCCGGGTCCTCTCGCTTGCGAGGCGAGGGCTCTAACCGCTACACGACAGGACTCCACCTGTGTTTCGCAAGCCATTTTATAACTCCTGATAAGTCAACCCTGGCTTAACTCGTCACTACCGCCTAAGCCATCAACATCCTGGCTGCATCGGGCGATATATTCCTACATACGCCTAACTCGCTACTCCTGATAACTGGTCACTCAGTCCTTTTCCCGTGGAGTGATGAGATATCAAGTAACCTAGTCTTTTTTGGCCGGGTTGGGGGTGGGGGGAGGGAAAGCGGGAGAGAAATTAGTCGTAGGCCAGGACATTTGGGGGAGGGTAATAACTGCTTACTTATTGAAATCATTTGTTCGGTGACTCTCGACTGCCCCAGGTTCAATGTCTCCTCCAAAGGATGGAGCCTCCGACAAAAACAGCGCTGTTTCCCCCACAAATACACACATACACCCCCCACCCCCTCCCGAACTCCCCCCCCAGCACTGCACTGGGGCGTCAGCCTGACTCGCGAGAGCTCAAAGCCCTAAAGCGCGGTTCGTGCTCACAACTCACAAGCCTCCGATCTTACTCAGTGAGGCCAAAGCCAAGCTTTATTGTGAGCGACAAAGGCGAGTAGAGGAGTCTGACTCAGTCACTGCTGTGACTGTGGCGTGAGCAGTCCGCACAAAGCAGCTCGGGAAGTCTCCAAGAGCGGTTTTGTCTCGGGGACTGGTTGTATCCGGATGCAGATGCGAGAATTATCCTCGGCCTCTTCCAAGGCCACTTGCGGCCTTTGCCCAACAAGCTCTTGCGACTTTGTTCACGCTCATTAATCTCATCAGCGATAATAATTTATTGAGGCCTGTAGCTCAGTGGTTAGGACCCGGGTTCGATTCCCGGGCGGTTCAGGGTGAAACCTTAGGCAAATTCCTTTATTCCACACACACACACACACACACACACACACACACACACACACACGCGCGTGCCTCTGTTTGCCCAGCGGTAAGTAGGAACCCGGTTGTGAGTCAATTGTCGGGATCGCTTTAAAAAGGTAATAATCCCTTCATAGACAAACAAATAGATCAGTAAAATACAAATTTGGTCCCTCATTCCACGGCCGTTTGCGGGACACTGCTCTCTGGGCAACTGGCTCCCGGGTTTCACCCACGAAGTGCCCAGTCGCTGCACTTTAGAGTACACCTTGCGAAGCGCTTTGAGACGTTCTTAACGACTGTATCGAACGCAAGGACCGCCGTCGTCCCAATTTAGCCTTTCGTGTTGGGAGTGCGTCTCAAAAACACTTCGCGGCGTCTTAATCCCCTCGATAAATTGCTGGTTGACAACAAAGTTGTTTGCGGGGCGTTGCTTAGTTTCATTAGCCATCTCCAGGGCGATCGTTCCAGTTGAAGCTTTCCAGAACGGGAGTTCATGGACAGACTCAAACCGGCCTCGAGACCTCTCAGGCAGAGCTTGACTGGAGGAATCTTGCGTTCGACCACACTGGGTTTCCACGCGACCATTAAAGGCAACAAAGTTTTCACGGCGAAATTATTTTTAGAAGAAAAGTGTCCTTGCTCCAACACGGGCCGCTGACATCAATTCATCGACGCGAGTGTTTTTTTTCCCCCCAAGTAAGGTCACTGTTTCTGTCTCTGTCTCTGTCTCTCTCTCTCTCTCTCTCTTCCCGTCTCTCTCCTACTCTCCTCTTTGTCGTTGACTTGTGCTGGGACACAGGTCTGAAACTTGTCCGCCTCCTCTTCCTCCCCATTGCCAGGTTATCACTCGCTGTCTGGCTTCACGTCTCCCACACCTCTATCACTCCCCCCGCCGCCACCCCCACTCCCACCCCCAACTTGGCTCTTGCCTCCGAGTCAAACGGTTGTGGATCCAATCCACGTGTTGGAGACTCTCAACTTGTATAGGGTTCGGGTGAGACTCCAGTATTGTGCTGGGGGGTGGGGGGTGGGGGATTGTGAGACGTTGCTGTGTGCAAATTCACTGGCCCCCCCCTCCCCCGCCCCCCACAAGAAAAAAAACAGTCACTCCACTTTGCAGTAAATGCTGCGAATGATTATTGTTATTATTTTTGTAGTCTTTGCGAGTTCCTTCCTGTCTCAACCACCGAGTGGAACATTGTTACGGTCCAGAAAATGTATAAAACTTCCTGTTGATTTCGCTCGGATTCCGTCGATGTCCTTGACCTG